TCATTTGGGAGTTGTAGTTGCAGGGATTTATAGTTCACCTACAATCAAATAGGACTCTAAACTCCGCCAATGATGAAATTGAACCAAACTTGGCACACAGAACTCCCATGACCAACGGAAAATACTGGAAGGATTTGGTGGGCATTGACCTTGAGTTTTGGAGTTGTAGTTCACTTGAATCCAGAAAGCATTGTGGACTCAAACAATGATGGATCTGGACCTAACTTGGCATGAAAATTCAATATGCCCAAATGTAAACACTAGTGGTGTTTGGGAAAAATAGTCCTTGACATTTGGGAGTTGTAGTTGTTGGGATCCTTCCTTCCAGCACCCAGGCAAGAGGTAAAGAAGGGAAGGAAGGGAAGCGGGGGAGAAGAAAGGAGAGAGAGAAAGAGGGAGAGAAAGAAAGCAGGAAAGAAAGAAGGAGGGATGGAAGCGAAGAGCAAAGGAAGGAAAGGGAGAGAAGGAAGAAAGGAGAGAAAGAAGGAAAATAAAAGAAAAGGGGGGAGGGACGGAAGAGAGAAGGAAAGGAAAAAAGGAAGGAACGAAGGAAAGAGGTAGAGAAGGAAGGAAGGCAAGAGAGAAAGAGGGATGGAAGGTTGGCCACAGCACCTACTAACCCAAGGAGTGACCATCACTCAAAAAATTGAGTTTGTTATTTGGGAGTTGTAGTTGCTGGGATTTATAGTTCACCTACAATCAAAGTGCATTCTGGACCCCACCATTGATAGAATTAGTCCAAACTTTTCACACAGAACTATGATGACCAACAGAAAATATTGTTTTCTGATGGTCTTTGGCGACCTCTCTGACACCCCCTTGCGACCCCCCTGGGGGTCCCGATCCCAGGTTGAGAAACACTGATATAATCCCTTATAACCCCAATATAGCATATCTCAATGCAATGTGTCATTGTTTCTGGATTACTTTTTTCCTTCCCACTTCTGTAATTTTTTGCTACTTCTATTCTCAGCTAAGCAACTTGATGGATGGTTTGGGGGGGGGGGTGGGAGGGAGAGAAGACACTCAATGCTTGGCATCGATTCTAATTGGCTGTGATGGCTTGTGGCTGCAGATTTGTTTATAAACTAGGAAATCTATAAATTGCCAGCCATCTGCACAGAATAGCTTGCTAATGAATGCCTGTAGCTGCAGATCCACAAGCTGATTACCTACAGAGGACAAGACCTTCTTCCACCGGTTCCCAGCTGAAGTTGTCTGCCTGAGCTGGAGATGGGGAAATAAATTGTGACTTAATAGCCACTTGCTAATGCCTATAGATCTGGAGGATCTGCCTCTCAGAATGGAGCCTAGGTTTTTACATGTTTTGATGGAGACTGCTGGTCCTGCCTTTAATTTGCCTGCTCTGCAGTGCCAATTAGCTTGGTGCGATTTAGTTTGAGCTGGTTTGTGCCAGCTCTCCATAGTGAAGTGATATCTTACATAGAGTGCCTGGGGATGTGGATGTGGATAAGACCCACAGCTTGTGGTTCCTTGAGAAGAAGTGTGAAAAGAAGGTCTTAGTAATCTCATTGTCAGGTTTTACAATGTGTTGTAATGTAATTTAGCTGAGTCATGCACTGCTAATAGGCTTCTATTGGAAATGCTGAGTCATGCATTAACTGTATATAGGGAATCATTTGGGGAATGTGTTCTGGCCTAGTCCAGGTGATTGTGAATGATGCAATCCTGGGTTTGAGTTAAGTCAATGAGTTGGGAACCAATCAGATTGCCAGGGCTGTAGCCAGAAAAAAATTTCGGGAGGGGTTGAAATTTTCGGGGGGGGGGGCTGAAAATTTCGCAGGGGGGGGGGTTGAAACCTGCCTCCTAGCTCACGCTGAAGCCAAGAGCACAGCAGGGGGCAGAGCAGCCTTCAATAGCCTGCAGCTCCGCCCCTGTCAACCACCTCCACCAAGTCTGGCCTCCCCTCCTTAATGAGAACATTCAACACACACACCACACAATGACAATAATAATAATAATAATAATAATAATAATAATAATAATAATCCTTTATTTGTACCCTGCTACCATCTCACGGAGGACTCGGTGCGGCTTACAAGAGGCCAAGCCCAAATACAACAGTAAAAACAACAACAACAATACAGCAAAATAACTCAAAAACAAGGCAATAACATTAACAACACACCATGACACAATTAGAATCTGTGGCAGGGCCAAATGTAATAATTAAAATTAAAAAGTGCTGGGCATGACCAGGTGAAAAGGGTAGGTGTTTGGAGGGGGATGGGCATGCAGTTATCCTGGCTGGGGCTTGCCTGATGTCCTTAGGGAGAGAGTTCCAGAGTCGAGGGGCCACCACCGAGAAAGCTCTATCCCTCGTCCCCGCCAATTGCACTTGCGATGCAGGTGGGATCGTGAGTAGAGCCTCTCCAGATGAACGAAAAGATCGTGTGGGTTCGTACACAGAGATGCAGTCACGCAGGTAGGCGAGTCCCAAACAGTGTGAATAAATTGTCAATATTTGCCTGAGATAGTGCTTGCAGGTCTGGAGGGACTCTTAATTTTTTGCATCTCATAGACTTAGCATGGGGATTTGGTTAACCAGTTAAAATTCATGACTAAACCAGGTTTTTAAAAAAATCTGAAACATTTTTTGGGGGGGGGGGGGTTGAACCCCTAACACACACACCCCCTCGCTACAGGCCTGGAGATTGCTATGTGTAAAGGTACAGAATTGTATATAAGGAAGTCATGTACAGTGTATTTTCTCTCCTTGTGCTGTGATGCTGTTTGCCGAAGGCTCTGTGTAACTGATTAAAGGAACCTGTCTGCTAAGACAAGATATAGCCATGTGCTGTGGTAAGTTTGTAGTGTCATCTAGATTGGAGGGGAAAACAATAGTAAAACTGACAATAGCTGGGCATGTGCTCAAGTGCCTCTAAAGAGTTCCAGAGTGACTGCAGTTTGTGGGAGCTGTTGACTGAAAATACTGTGGGAGCAGTTGACTGAAAATACTGTGCAGGAAGAAGCTACTGGAAAGTGCTGAAGTTATGCAACTGATCTGCTGCTGAATTGTGAGATAAAGTGCGACAGTTTTGTGTATTAGATTGACTGAATGGCACATAATATGGGTCTGGGGAGTGTATTGGCTGACTTGAACTCACTCCTCAAGGACATCAGGCATGCCCCAACTCTGGCAGTCTTTAGTAGGAGCCTGAAAACATGGTTGTTCCATGAAACTCCCAGCAATATGTCCCTAAATGCACTTTATCAATGATCTAGGATTGTCTGCACACCCTTTCCTCTCCGAAATTCTATCCTAGTTGTATATTTCACCTTGTCATGCTCAGAATTATTTTTTTAAATCTTAATTTTTACATTTGGCCCAGCCATATGTTTTTAAGTGTTGTTGTACTATTGTTGATGTTTACTGTTTGTTTTTTTATTTATGAGTTTCATTTTATTGTTTTGTATTGCTGTTGTTGTTTTTGCTTGTATTGTGGGCTCGGCCTCATGTAAGCCACACCGAGTCCCTGGGGAGATGGTAGCGGGGTACAAATAAAGTATTAATATTATTATTATTACTAGCTGTGGCTCAGCCTGGTGATCTGGAAAATAAAGTAATGAGAAAGTGTTGGTTTCTAATATATGTAATTCCTTTATGCTTGTGAGTAAACAGTATTTCTTGCTGTTTCTTTGTCAGTGTTAATGTGGAGAGTGTCTGGTTTGCCTACTCTGGAATATGCAACATATCATAGTCCTTCTTTAAGGGTCTCTTTCAAATCTGTGATACTATATCTGTGTGTGTGAGTATCATATATATCTATCTATATTTATGCTGGATGGCTCTTTGTCAGGAGGGCTCTGATTACATTTTCTTGCCCTGGTGAAGAGAGTTGGACTGGATGGCCTTAAGTATTTTCTGTTGGTCATGGGGGTTCTGTGTGGGAAGTTTGCCCCATTTCTGTCGTTTGTGGGTTTCAGAATGCTCTTTAATTGTAGTGAACTATAAATCCCAGTAACTACAAATCCCAAATGTCAAGGTCTATTTCCTCCAAACTCCATCTGTGTTCATATTTAGGCATATGGAATTTTTGTGTCAAGTTTGGTCCAGATCCATCATTGTTTGAGTCCACAGTGCTCTCTGGATGTAGGTGAACTACAACTCCCAAACTCAAGGTCAATGCCCACCAAACCCTTCCAGTGTGTTCTGTTGGTCATGGTAGTCCTGTATGCCATGTTTGGTTCAATGCTATCATTGGTGGAGTTCAGAATGCTCTTTGAATGTAGGTGAACTATAAATCCCAGCAACTACAACTCCCAAATGTCAAGGTCTATTTCCCTTAAACTCCATCTGTGTTCATATTTGGGCATATGGAATATTCGTGCCAAGTTTGGTCCAGATCCATCATTGTTTGAGTCCACCGTGCTCTCTGGATGTAGGTGAACTACAACTCCCAAACTCAAGGTCAATGTCCACCAAACCCTTCCAGTTTTTCTGTTGGTCATGGGAGCCTGTGTGCTAAGTTTGGCCCAATTCCATCATTGGTGGAGTTCAGAATGCTCTTTGATTGTAGGTAAACTATAAATCCCAGCAACGACAATTCCCAAATGACAAAATCATTTTTTTTATTGGAGGACATAAATTGGACTGTTAGGTGTCTTGTGTCCAAATTTGGTGTCAATTCCCCCAGTGGTTTTTGAGTTCTGATGGTAGCACGAACTAACATTACATTTTTATTTATATAGATAGATGATTATGATGATGATTATGATGATGATGATGATGATGATGATTATTATTATTATTATTATTATTATGTGAGGACATGACAGAAACCTCCCACAAGGATGGTAAAGCATCAAAACATCTGGGTGTCCCCTGGGCAACGTCCTCGCAGACGGCCAATTCTCTCACACCAGAAGCAACTTGCAGTTTCTCAAGTTAATCTTCATACACACACAAAAGTGTATGAATATTGTATGCCAATGAATTAATCCTCCCTCCCTGCTTGTTATGTCCTCTTTGTCTTCAGGTGGAATGGCTGAAGAATGAAGAAATAATTGTTGCTGCGGAGGATGAGAATATTGACACCAGGGCTGAAGAATGAAGAAATAATTGTTGCTGCGGAGGATGAGAATATTGACACCAGGGCTGATCACAACCTGATCATCCGCCAAGCCCGCCTGTCTGATTCCGGGAACTACACTTGTATGGCAAACAACATCGTTGCCAAGCGAAGAAGCCTGTCAGCCACTGTTGTGGTGTATGGTCAGTGATGTTAAGTGCTATATCTTTTTGCCCCACAAATATGGGTCTGTTTTGTTTGATGCAGTTAAGCAGTTAGCTCATTTAGTTTAATATGTGGACAATTTTTATAGAAATTTGAGTTAGAGGTTAATCTTTTACTAGTCTTCCAACAGTAAAGGAGGCAAAATCTGTCACCAAGCTCTTTCCTTATCTCTAACATCAGTTTTGTTTACAAGTATACAACTTTTGATCAGAATGGGATATCAGCAATGCATTTGTTAAAATGTACCACTTACATATAGGCAAATTTCTGAGCAATCAGGAACTTAGCATATAGATCATAGAGTTAGTTAGGCGATCCCACGTTGGACGAAGATGGTCTTCCATTATGCGTTTCCTTGTGGGTTCGTAGGTGGCTGTGGAGCCCTATTCTTGATCTGCATCTTCTCCCACAGTGAGGACATTGGTTTCCAGGTGGAAGGCAGTCTCAGGGTTGGCTTGATGCGCCTTCCTCTTGGCACGTTTCTCTCTTTCACCCTCCACTCGTGCCTCCTCGAATTCTGCAGCACTGCTGGTCACAGCTGACCTCCAGCTGGAGCGCTCAAGGGCCAGGGCTTCCCAGTTCTCAGTGTCTATGCCAGAGATTTTAAGGCTGGCTTTGAGGCCATCTTTAAATCTCTTTTCCTGTCCACCAACGTTCCGTTTTCCATTCTTAAGTTCAGAGTAGAGCAACTGCTTTGGGAGACGGTGGTCAGGCATCCGGACAACGTGACCGGCCCAGCGGAGTTGATGGCAGAATAGATCATAGAATCTTAGAATCAAAAAGTTGGAAGAGACCTCATGGGCCATCCAGTCCAACCCCCTGCCAAGAAGCAGGAATATTACATTCAAATCACCCTTGACAGATGGCCATCCAGCCACAGGGAGGAGGGAGCAAGCTTGTTTTCTGCTTCCCTGGAGATTAGAATGCAATGGAACAATGGCGTCAAACTACAAGAGAGGAGATTCCATCTGAACACGAGGAAGAACTTCCTGACTGTGAGAGCCGTTCAGCAGTGGAACTCTCTGCCCCGGAGTGTGGTGGAGGCTCCTTCTTTGGAAGCTTTTAAACAGAGGCTGGATGGCCATCTGTCAGAGGTGATTTGAATGCAATATTCCTGCTTCTTGGCAGGGGGTTGGACTGGATGGCCCATGAGGTCTCTTCCAACTCTTTGATTCTATGATTCTTAATTGTCATTATCTACTGATGATTATCTGCCACCAGAAGTCTGTGCCTTGCGGAATTTATCAGCTTTCCGCAGGGCTTGTAAGACATATTTGTTTTGACAGGCTTTTGATCTTTGATATGTTGTTTAATTTGTGTTAGATTTTAGTTTGTTCTTGTAAGCCGCTCCGAGCCCTAGGGGAGTGGCGGAATATAAGTTTGAAATATAAATAAATAAATAAATAAAATGTTGGAGAGTGGTCCCTGGTCAAAGTGGTCACTCACCAAAGTGGTCCTTAGTCAAGTGGTACCTGGTAAAAAAAAAGTTGGGAACTTTTCCAATGAGACCCAAATATTAGGAATATATGATTTAGATTTATTTAAAGATTTAAATGTTGAGAAATTGTTCACTTTTTTTGCAACTGCAGTAAGAATTGCTTTTACTAAGTTTTGGAAAATGGAGTCAATCCCCTCTAAGACCCAATTGTTGGATAAAATAATGGAAATTAAGGAGATAGACAAATTGATATTTTTTACTTAAATCAAGCAACAGAAAGGAAATAAAAAGGACGGATTGGACGATTTTTGAAGACTTTATTAATAAGGGCGATAAATAAGATTTCTGACAAAGTCTGAGCAAAAACTATATTATATATATACATCAGGGGTCCTCAAACTAAGGCCCGAGGGCCGGACATGGCCCTCCAAGGTCATTTACCTGGCCCTCGCTTAGGTCAATCTTAGTCTGAAACGACTTGAAAGCACACAACAACAATCCTATCACATCAGCCAAAAGCAGCTCACACTTCCCACTGAAATACTAATAGGTTTATATTGGTTAAAATTGTCCTTCATTTTAATTATTGTATTGTTTTAAAGTGTCATTTGCACTACAAATAAGATATGTGCAGTATGCATACGAATTAATTCATTTTTTTTTTCAAATTATAATCCGGCCCTCCAACAGTTTAAGGGACTGTGACCTGGCCCTCTGCTTAAAAAGTTTGAAGACCCCTGATATATATATTTGGGGGGGGGACTGTAGATTTTTTTTCTTCATTATTGGGGTAAAAGGAGGAAGAATGGAAGTCAACCCTTTGGGGTTTTGTTTGTTTGTTTTTGTTCTCTTTTTTCTTGCTTCTGTTTTTCTCTTTAGTAAGTGTATTGTGTTGCATTGTGGTTTTATGTTACGTTTGGTAAAATGAATAAAAATTACTTTAAAAAACTTGGGAAACCACTGCTTTAGTGAGATTAGACACAATCCCCTTGAAGTTACCCAAAAATAGTTACACCATCTTTCCCACTTAGAGCAGTGAAATCATTATAAATAACTCATTATGTGTAACGGATGACTTCTAGACTGTGGCTTGAAGCCCTGGCACAAGTTTTTCCCTGCAGTGATTGTGGATAGGCGGATTTTCTAGAATGGAGCAGGTTGCTGCACATATTTGTTGAATAAAGTTATTTCCTTTCCTTCCCCAAACAATAAATGTGGTGTCTGTGATAAATGCATAATGGAGTGATCCTGCTTAGCTGTTCCAAAAGTGTCACTTAGATTAAGATATTGCAATGTACATCCTAATCAGTGAACAGAACAAACAGTTAACACCAAGAGCATTAATTAGCTGGTAAAGCCTGTTGATTGACAGTCCTAACATGCCTCCTTGATAACTTAACACCAAACAGCTATTACAAAATGACATGCTTCGCCACAAGTTATTAAAACGTAGCTAGGCAACCATGGTGCAAGCAGACAATCAGAAATAGCTAACCCATCCCAAGGGTCAATAACGGAGAGAAATAAAATGTGTGTTGGACTGCGTAAAAGCAAAATGTGGGCCATGCCACCAATGCTTAATGCTTTTAATATTGCTGCCAAACTTACATTTTGCAACAGTGTGTTGGGTATAGATGAATAATGCAAGCTCTAACCAGACAGTTTCCACTCTATATGCCCAAAGCTGGGCGAGGTGGTCTGCAGCTGATTTTGAAGCAACATATAATGAATGAGGAGATGGGATTGTGCAGAAATGAAGTCTCAGTGACTCAAGGAAAGCTTGATTGAAGAAGTGTCTCTTAGATATATAGACCTGGGCCCGGTCCTGTTCAACATCTTTATTAATGACTTAGATGAAGGGTTAGAAGGCATGATCTTCAAGTTTGCAGACGACACCAAATTGGGAGGGATAGCCAATAGGCCTGGGTAACAACGGAAAAATTTGTTTCTAAAATCGATTCGTTTTTTGGGGGTTTTTGCGTTTCGTTATTTAAAATAATTACAAAATTTTCCTTTTAAAAAGTTCGATATTTACGAAATTTCGTAAATGTGAAAAAAATTACAAAACATTAACGAATCGATTTCCGAAACAATAACGAATCGATTCGTTAATGGCGGACGCGACCGCGAAATACGCTAAAAAACCTCCAAAAACTTCTGAAGCTTCCCTCTCCCTCTGTTGTTGACTGTTGGTGTGATATTATAATTTTTTTTCACTAATTAAACAAAAAACTTGCCCCAGACATGCGGAAATAATAACGAAACGACCTCAGAACAATAACGAAACGAATACAATAACGAAATACGAAGCATTTACAAAACGTGTTTAAAAATTCGTTTTTTTAAAAAATTGCTCCAGAATGGTTCGTTATCGTTTTGTAATTAAAAAAAAATAACGAATTATTAACGAATTACGAATTAACGAAACAAAACCGCCCAGCCCTAATAGCCAATACTCCAGAGGACAGGAGCAGGATTACAGTTATGAAGTAGCAAAATAATGTTATGGTTGGAGGTCACCACAACATGAGGAAATGTATTAAGGGGTGGCGGCATTAGGAAGGTTGAGAAACACTGACTTAGATGAAGGGTTCGAAGGCATGATCTTCAAGTTTGCAGATGACACCAAATTGGGAGGGATAGCCAATACTCCAGAGGACAGGAGCAGGATTCAAAATGATCTTGACAGATTAGAGAGATGATTGCCCAAAACTAACAAAATGAAGTTCAACAGGGACAAATGCAAGATATTCCACTTAGGCAGGAAAAACGAAATGCAAAGATTCAGAATGGGGGACAATGCTTGTCTCGAGAGCAGGACGTGTGAAAAAGATCTTGGAGTCCTCATGGACAGCAAGTTAAACATGAGCCAACAATGTGATGTGGTGGCAAAAAAAGCCAATGGGATTTTGGCCTGCATCAATAGGATTAATAAGTAATTAAAGATGATGATGATGATGATGATGATGATGATGATGAATACTTAGATCAGTGTGGATTGCCATCGTGACTAAACACTGCCTGATCTAGCTTGGCTCAGGAAAAGCCACTTAATATAGTTTTCACCCTGGGTTAAGCAAATCCGGGGTAAAACACAACTTCTGAAGCAGCTTAGCATCATACCTGGCATATCAGTCTGTTTTCATAGAATCATAGAATCATAGAATCAAAGAGTTGGAAGAGACCTCATGGGCCATCCAGTCCAACCCCCTGCCAAGAAGCAGGAATATTGCATTCAAATCACCCCTGACAGATGGCCATCCAGCCTCTGTTTAAAAGCTTCCAAAGAAGGAGCCTCCACCACACTCCGGGGCAGAGAGTTCCACTGCTGAACGGCTCTCACAGTCAGGAAGTTCTTCCTCATGTTTTGCATTTGTTTACACCAAGTCCTTTTATGAAAATGCATTTCATCATTATTTATTTAGTAATATTATTATTTATTTAGCAATATTTACAACCGAGCTTGAAATTTTACAGACAGAATGTGTTATATTTTTTTAGAAAAAGCTTGGAAATGGAAGGATTTGAAATGAAGGTTTACTCTCTAAAACTATAATGTGTTATCTGTGTTTCTTCTTTCAAATATTCTGGTTTCAGTGAATGGAGGTTGGTCATCATGGACAGAATGGTCTAACTGCAATGTACGCTGTGGCAGAGGATGGCAGAAGAGGTCCAGGACCTGCACGAACCCTGCTCCTCTTAACGGAGGTGCTTTCTGCGAGGGAATGTCTGTGCAGAAAATTACCTGCACTTCCTTGTGTCCTGGTGAGAAAAAGAGAAAGACAGAAATAATACTGTTGCTTCATCCTGAACCCTTAGCACAGTGTTTCTCATCTTAGGTGTTGGGACCCCCTGGGGGGGGTCGTGAGGGGGGTGTCAGAGGGGTCACCAAAGACCATCAGAAAACAAAGTATTTTCTGTTGGTCATGGGAGTTTTGTGTGGGAAGTTTGGCCCAATTCTATCGTTGGTGGGGTGCAGAATTCTCTTTGATTGTAGGTGAACTATAAATCCCAGCAACTACAACTCTCAAATGTCAAGGTCTATTTTCCCCAAACTCCACCAGTGTTCATATTTGGTCTTATTGAGTATTTGTGCCAAGTTTGGTCCAGATTCGTCACTGTTTGTATCCACAGTGCTCTCTGGATGTAGGTGAACTACAACTCCAAAACCAAGTCCCTTCTGCTGTGGTTTTCAGTGTTTTTATGAGTGATGGTCACTCATTCACTTGATACGTGTATTGTATCCAAATTTGGTGTCAATTCATCCTGTGATTTTTGAGTTATGTTAATCCCACAAACTAACATTACATTTTTATTATATAGACTAGCCGTCCCCTGCCACGCACTGCTGTGGCCCACATGGGGGTTCTGTGTGGGAGGTTTGGCCCAATTCTATCGTTGGTGGTGTTCAGAATGCTCTGTGATTGTAGGTGAACTATAAATCCCAGCAACTACAACTCCCAAATGTCAAGATTCTATTTCCCCCAAACTCCACCAGTGTTCACATTTGGGCATATTGAGTATTTTGTAGAGTTTGGTCCAGATCCATCATTGTTTGAGTCCACAGTGATCTTTGGATGTAGGTGAACTACAACTCCAAAACCAAAGGACACTGCCCACCAAACCCTTCCAGTATTTTCTGTTGGTCATGGAAGTTCTGTGTGCCAAGTTTGGTTCAATTCCATCGTTGGTGGGGTTCAGAATGTCTTTGATTGTAGGTGAATATAAAATCCCAGCAACTACAACTCCCAAATGTAAATAATCTCCCCAACCACACTAGTATTTATTTGGGCTTATTGGGTATTTGTGCCAAATGTGGTCCAGTGAATGAAAATAAATCCTACATATTTACATGACAATTCATAACAGTAGCAAAATTACAGTTATGTAGTAATAACGAAAATAATTTTATGGTTGGGGATCACCAACCATGCTTTGCTTCCATGCTTTCTTCTCTCTTTCCTTCTTTCCATCAGGAGAGAATGCTTCTGGAACATGGCTGCACAGCCCAAAAAACTTACAACAAACCAAACAACACCTTCTCCGTTTTCATGGAAATAAACCACATGTGAAGTTAGAAGAAAATAAGTGCAATTATAACATTTTCTGTGCAGGAAACTATTTTCTTGAGGGGGAAATAATATTTCTGCATAGAAATATTTTCTGTAAAGAAAAATCTGTTTCTTGCACAGAAAATGCCATTTCCTGTATAAAACAACCACATGTGATTTTTGTGCAAAATAAGTGCCAAACTGTGAAGATTCTCGACAGTCCAGTACTCATCTAATCAGGATTTAATGATACTGAAATAACATTCTTTTCTGAATATTATTTCCATCCCTAGACAGAATGATCAAACCATTATGTCAATTTATTTTCATAAATATTTTGGCACAGCTGAAATCTCCATCATACCACACAACATAAGGATGCATCATGAAGAGCAGATCTAGCACCTGATGCTGGATGTCCATGTGACTGTAGAGCAAGGGTCCCCAAACTAAGGCCCGCGGACCACATGCGGCCCGCCGAGGGCATCTATCCGGCCCGCACGGCCTGGCCTAGCCTCACGCAAAGCCCCTCACTGCCTCGCACCGCCCGTCGGCCCTGGCAAGCAATGGAAGCGGCGATGCAAATTACCTGCCTTACGCTGCCCCTCGTGCAAGCCAGGCAAGGGAAGGGCATCGTGCGAGAACAGGCCACGAGTTGCAGCTTCCCTTGCCAGGCCCGACGGGCAGCGAGAGGGCTGTATGGAAGGGCTCTGGAGAAGCGCCTTTCCAAACAAGCACACTTTTAGTTTGTCTTGTGGAGCGAGAGCAGCCTGGCTCGCCTCTTCCTGGGAGGAGAGTTGAAACGGAGGCCGGAGGCCGAGGCCTGGCAGGCCCTCCTTCTCGGGCGCTGCTCTCCCCTCCCCTGCCAGAAAAAAATACATTACAATTCATGCACAAAACCACATATATACACACATACACACATACACACACACACACACAAAACACATATACACAGACTGGGCCACAGCAACGTGTGGCAGGGGACAGCTAGTTAATCATCTAACACAGAAATTCTCTCTTGACCTCCAGAATGTCCATAAAAAATGCTAATTAGCATGTATGAATGCATTTTCAGTTTGGTACTCACAAATCAGCACAATTTCCTTGACAACTTCTTAAAAAGCTTTGATTTGCCACTTTCTTCAAAGCGATCCTCAACCTACAGATGAGCACAAATGAGCATGAAGAACAGAACCGCCAATAGTCTATTGTGTTCTTCTGAATTCACCTTCTTGCTGCAAATGAAGCTGGACTGTGCATGCCAGTAAATTTTAAGATTGCCTGCTTATTCTCTTTAGCTTTTATTATTCATAGTCCTTTGAACACCACAGGTGTCTGTTCATGTCCACAGGATTTAAATTGGAATTTATTGAAACTGGGATTTCTTTTTCCCCGTTCCTTTCTTTTGATCTGCTTTTGTTCATTTCAATATTGTGCACACAAACAATATCGGGTAGAGCTGGACAAAAAGGAAACTGTTGTAAGTCAGTGAACAAAAACATATTCATCCTTGGGATTTTTTTTAGGTAGTCATTAACAAATGTCCTACAAGCCCCACTGTGATATTTCTCGTCCACATTGGAATTATCTATGACTCTAGATTTGACTGGACCTTGATTTTTTCACACCAAGAATTCTTTTATTCAGGCATAACATCAGTTGTTACTAAAAACATGATGCTTCATAGGAAAACTATCAGACCCAGAGCATCCAGATCCCAAATGAGATGAGCAGTGGTGAATCTACCACTCAACTACCAAGCTTGCAAACTTTGAGTTTTGTCTGTTTGTTTTGTTAAAAATGTAATACAGATGTCTGGTTGCTCCTGACATGATAAATAAATAATACCACTCAAAAAGAATAGGATTTAGAGACAGATATCAGCAAAGCAATCCATTAGCAGAAGACACATGTTTATTTCATGTACGCATCCATGAACAATGAGAGGACATTAAAGGAAGCACTAATTGCCTCACTATAGAAAGGAGGGAGAATTTTAATTCATATTTGGATAAGAAATTTCATGAAGATTCGATTTCTAAAATGAACATACAAATGAAAGTGCAATCCTTTATTGACATCCTAACACCCAGGATTTTGTGATAAATAAAAGTGTATACAAAACTATGTACATGTTTGCAGAAATATACAGTATACATAATCAGGGGCGGCTCATCAATTATGCAAAGTAAGCGGTTGCAGAACACTTTTTTTTGCCAGGGGCGCAAAGGCGCCTCTGTAAATGCCCCTCAACCACCACTTGAGGAGCGCCCCCTCGGCTCACAACAGCCCTAGCAGTCCAGGGGGAGCCTCGGCTTCCTTGCCTCGCTGCCGGGCGATCCTCTTCCCGAAGGGGCCGGGCCCTTGAGCCTCGCCTAGCCCCTCTTGTTCCTGCTCCACCCGGCCACCGGGTGCATGCGCAGAGCTGGCGCTCAATCGTTCTCCACGTTCGATCCCTTCCCCATGACGGCTCCCTTTCCCAAGCCCCCAGCACTCCACACACCTCGCGCTCCTCTCCCCAATCCGCAGGTGGGCCAAGGGGCAGAGCCGCCACGGCGCACTTGCTCCCTTGCCTGGCCCACTTCAGGTCTGGAGGCGTGTCTGAAAGCCCAGGCGTGTGCACCAAAAGTCACCTCTTCTCCTGACTTTCTCCTCAACCGTTGGGACCAAGAGAAAGAAAGAGAGAGAGGTGGAGATRCCCGCCTTTCCTGAAGGTAGGTGCAAAAACAAAGGAGRGAGYGGAGGTGGGAGATACCTCCWGCCGGAGGGGCTCTCTCTCTCTCTCTCTCTCTCGATCCCAATGGCTGAGGAGAAAGCCAGGAAAGAATCTGAGGGCCTGCTTATCCCCCTACCAACCCCAGAGATTACTCCGGTCTGAAGACCAAAATTTGCTTGCAGTCCCTAACATCCGGACCTATCATTTGTCATCTACTAGTCATAGAGCCTTCTCAATCGTAGCCCCTTATTTATGGAATGCCTTGCCGGTGGAAACTCRAACCATTCGAGACTTATTTGCTTTTTGGAAAGCCTATAAAACTTCTTTTCCGGCAAGCTTTTGATGGGTGAACAACCCGGGCTATGTCTGTCCTTGCTTCCTATTGTTATTGTTATGGTTGTTTTAAAGCTAATTRTATTGTTTTAATCTATTTCTGTAAACTGCTCCGAGCCAAATTGGGAGTAGCGGTATACAAGTTAAATAAAAAATAAAATAAAAGTTGATTTTTCACCTATATTGCTGAACTCTCCAAAACAATTTGCCATCTAAAGCATGCAATTTATTTCTTCTGTTTAGTGGACGGTGGTTGGGAAGCATGGAGTGAATGGTCTGTATGTAGCCCTGAATGTGAACATTTGAGGATCCGTGAATGCACCGCTCCTCCTCCACGTAACGGTGGGAAATTCTGTGAAGGACCAAATCAAGAGTCAGAGAACTGCACTGAAGGTCTTTGCATTCATGGTGAGTGGCTTTGATAGAAAGTGTTTATGTTAAATTACCCAAACATACAATTATCTGTCTAGATAGATAAGTAGGAAAGTATTCAAATTTGCTGCCTTAAATGAAGACTCGTAAACAATTCTATGAATCATATTAGAGCCTCGTAAGAGTCGTACATAGTAAAATATTTCCACAAGTATTTTTGTGTAAGAGAGAGATAGCAGCTTTGAAATTCATTTTGCTGAAATCTTTTTGCTTGGAGCTCATATCCTTTGAAGTTTGTGGAAAGACTTACAGTTGCTGGAAGGGAAGTTTTCAACCTGTGGTGAATAATATATCAGGCATTACCTTGGATGCTGTATTATCGGTTCAGAAAATGGATCACATTAATGGGTGAGCACAGGCTCTCTGCTTGTCCAGATGAGGAGCAAACCTTACAAGTATTTCTTTTGACTCTCCAATAAAGATCTTGAAGGATTTGACCTTTTCAGCTTCCTATAATACACCTCCAGAATATATTTCCTACATAAGAAAACAATGTATGTTTAGGTGCAAATGAATCTTTACAACAAAATCCTCAAGTACAAATAGTGCTTGAAAAGTGTTTTGTATTCTCATGGAACACAGAGAAAATTGTTGAAGGCTTTCATGGCTGGAATAACTGTTGTAGGTTTTTCGGGCTATATGGCCATGTTCTAGAAGCATTCTCTCCTGACATTTCACCTGCATCTATGGCAAGCATGTGCTCAACAGGGTTACACTCCCCCTGAAGGCGCAGGTTCGCAGCTTGGGAGTGATCCTGAACTCATCGCTGAGCCTGGAACCCCAGGTCTCAGCGGTGGTCAGGGGAGCTTTTGCACAATTAAAACTTGTGCGCCAGCTGCGCCCGTACCTTGGGAAATCTAACTTGGCCACGGTGGTCCATGCTCTGGTTACATCCCGTTTAGACTACTGCAACACTCTCTACGTGGAGTTGCCTCTGAAGACTGCCCGGAAGCTCCAACAAATCCAACAAGCGGCAGCCAGATTACTAACAGGAGCAGGGTACAGGGAGCACACTACTCCTCTGTTGCGCCAGCTCCACTGGCTGCCAATTAGCTTCCAAGCACAATTCAAAGTGCTGGTGTTGACCTATAAATCCCTAAACGACTCTGGCCCAGTTTACCTGTCCAAATGGATTCTCCCCTATGAACCATCAAGATTGTTAAGATCTTCTGGAGGGGCCCTGCTCTCGGTCCCACCGTCCTCACAAGCACGTCTGGTGGGGACGAGGGACAGGGCCTTCTCGGTGATGGCCCCTCGGCTCTGGAACTCTCTCCCACTGGAGATTAGAACTGCCCCTTCTCTCCTGACTTTTAGAAAACAGGTGAAAACCTGGCTCTGGAAACTGGCATTTGACGAGTGAGCCAATAACTCGTGACTACTTGGACGGATGGTGATGAACTACGATTTTATTTTGACGACTTGGCCAATGTAATTATATGATTGTATTTTAGTATTTTAATGCTTTAGTGTATTATGGGATGTGATGTTTTTAAATGATTGTCTGTGTTACTGTTGTTGTGAACTTGCCTGAGTCCCTCTGCGGAGGTGAGAAGACCGGTATATAAAAGTTCTAAATAAATAAAATAAATAAAAGCATCCTCAGAGGTTGTGAGTTCATACATGCAGGCGAAACATCAGGAGAGAATGCTTCCAGAACATGGCCATATAGCCCAAAAAACCTACAACAACACAGAGAAAATTGTTAAAATTATTTATTCTTTCTTGATGGTATGAAATAAATCATTTACACCTCTAATGTGTGTGTGTCTATATCTATTAGGGATGTGCAATCAATTAAAAATGGTTCAAAAGTCATTACAAAACTGGAGGGCACTGGCGCTTCATTTCTAAAGTGTTTCTACAGTATACTTAGTGAAAATTTTGTTACTGTAATGACACTAATGAAATTTCGTTACTATTTCGTAGTAGTAATTGCACATAATTAAATTACTATAATTAGGGAAATTTCAGACACTTTGTTTCTAAAGTGTTTCTAAAGTATACTTAGTGAAAATGTTGTTACTGTAATGACACTAATGAAATTTCGTTACTAATTCGTAGTAGTAATTGCGCATAATTAAATTACTATAACTGGGGAAAATCCAGAGACTTTTATCTCCCTCATTTTTAAAGCTATTGAGGTGTAACTTGCTGCAATGGTAGAGCACATTTACCACTCTTTGTCCATAAAGTTTCAGAACGTTTTATTTATCCACAGATTTTTGGTGAATTTTCAAAGTTTTTTAAACAACAATTTTTAATAATAAAGAAAATCTGTGCCTAGTTTCAAAACATTATTTCCTGTTTAATTGTGTAGTCCATACTTTGAAAGTAGTTGTTATTCTCCAGAAACTTTGCTTTTGAGGCAGCAGCTTCACTAATTTGGTGGAGACTCAACAAAGCAAGATATGCCATATATAGGATAATGTCCCTTGCTCAAAGAAAAGTTTTTGCAGTGTAATAAACTTTTGCCTTGTTTTCATGACAGAACCGATTAGGAAATGACATTTATAACCCAGGAACAGAAATCATAGTGTAGAATATTAACACATCCATTTGAACTCTGCCTGGTTACAGACTGATCCTCTCTCCTAATTGGGGCTTTTTGTTGCTAATGCATACTGGAAAATGTAGTTTAGGGCAGAGCCTTTTGAATTCTTTGAGATAGGACTTCTCCCCTTCCAAAAGTAACTTGTGCTGTCAYGCACTGGGCTTGTGRAAAGGTCTGTAGACAGGACGTGTTCTGTATGCCCAACAGGACACCAGGGGTGYCTCAGATTAGAGGCCCTATAGATTTCCCTAAACAAAGTCTTTAGAAAYTTGGAAAGTTTAACAAAGTTCTTTATTAGTGCTTAAGTCTTCAGTAAATCAAACAAATACTTCAAGGCTTTGAATCAACTGGTGGCTTTCTTAAATCTTGTCCACAAGGGACAGGCAACTATCTTCATGAACTGTTTCTTCACTATCAGGGAAATCCTTGACCTCTACCTGGAAAATCTGTATTAGGCTCTGTTGGCGTGGGCCCCTACACCMGGTCCAAATTGCGTTACGGCTGCCGCRAGTGGTCCTTACCAAACAGAGKCCTTTTGTAGATTTCCAAGAGGAAATAAGGTCTGGCTGTAAAGCTGTGGGACTGGATCCCCCCAGCAAAGCTATGCTTCTCTGTAGAGCTGTGGGATTGAATTCCCCCCAGCAAAAAGCTATGCTTCTCTGTAGAGCTGTGGGATTKAATTCCCCCCAGCAAAAAGCTATGCTTCTCTGTAGAGCTGTGGGACTGGATCCCCCCAGCAAAGGCTGTAGAGCTGTGGGACTGGATCCCCTCAGCAAAAGCTTGTGGCGCAGCTGGCTGAGTGTCAGCTGCATTAAGATCACTCTGACCAAAAGGTCATGAGTTCGAAGCCAGCCCGGGTTGGAGTGGGTTTCCAACCAATTGTGTGTAGCCTGTTGTCGACCTTTGCAACCCAAAAGACAGTTGCATCTGTCAAGTAGGAAAATTAAGTACCACCTTAAAGTGTGGGGAGGCTAAATTAACTGATTTATGAGGCCATAAAGAAGACTCCAGCAAAGCATTCCAGCAAGGAAGCATGCGGGGAATGCGGAAGTGCTTCATCAGCATCGCAGATGGACGATGAAAGCGACAGCTCCCCTGGTGGCCAGAAAAAATTAAATAGCCTTTGTGTATGTCTGTATATGTTTGTATGTCAAAAATTGGCATTGAATGTTTGCCATATATGTGTACACTGTAATTTGCCCTGAGTCCCCTGTGGGGTGAGAAGGGCAGAATATAAAAGCTGTAAATAATAATAATGATGATGATGATGACGAAGTATTCTACAGGTGGAACTGATTCACATCCTGTTCATCCTGTGTGAACTGAACTAGAGGTCCCCTTTTCCCCTCCTAAACCCAGAAAAAGGGGCGGAACTAAAGAACCTAATGATGATTGATGGGTCATTGGCCCTATAATTACAAACCAAGGGAAGCCACCTTATTGCAAAATGCATGGAACCTTGGAATACATGCAAACACTCAAAGAAAGAAAAAGAAGTTGTAGCTCCTGGTACAGCCGTACCAGAAGAACACTGCTCCCTCTTTTCACTGCTCCTAATGACGGGAGAGACTCCATTAATTCCAGGGAGATAAATGGCAAGGCAGGCACTAAGGCAGGCAGTATTTTTGGCTTAATGGCATTGCTTCCTTGCACTGAATATGAAACTGTCTTTTTGGATCCTTCTGACATTTACAAAACTAAAAGGAAAAATTATGGAGTAAGTTTCAGTTCTCAAATATTTGGCATGTGCCACACAAATGCTTCAGATATGGCTTCCAACTTACGAAATTTCCGATTTTCTTACGATTTCCGACTCTTTTGATTTTTTGCACATGCCTAATATCTATATCAGGGGTCTTCAAACTAAGGCCCGAGGGCCGGATGCCGCCCTCCAAGGTCATTTACCCAGCCCTTGCTCAGGGTCAACCTAAGTCTGAAACGACGTGAAAGCACACAACAACAACAACAACAATCCTATCTAATCAGCCAAAAGCAGGCCCACACTTCCCATTGAAACACTAATAAGTTTATATGTGTTAAAATTGTTCTTCATTTTAATTATTGTATTGTTTTTAAGTGTTTTTTTGCACTACAAATAAGATATGTGCAGTGTGCATAGGAATACATTCATGTTTTTTTTTTTCAAATAATAATCCGGCCCTCCAACAGTTTGTGGGATTGTAACCTGGCCCACTGTTTAAAAAGTTTGAGGGTCTCTGATCTATATCTATACATATTATGTCAAAAGGTAGAATTCTAAATTCTAATCACCTCTCAACAAAAGTTTGCTCTAGGCACTGTCATGCCATTATATGCTAATCAAGGTGGTCAGTTGAAACATTCACACCTAGTTCCAGCAGACAAGAGTCCTTTGTCCCACCCTGGTCATTCCACAGATATATAAACCCTTTTTCCTAGTTCCAAC